AGCGTGAGATGACGAAGGCTTCAGGACTTTTATGTTTTGACTGTGTATATATTATGACGATATTACGTTTCCGCTGATTATGGCTTTTGATCGAACTTTCAGAAAAGTTATGCTTTCAGTAAACCGTATGATTTTGGTTAAAAATTAAGATAATGGTTTTTCCAAAATAAGTCACGTTTTACGGTAGCGCCCCGAATCAGTTTTCGCAAAGTAAAAGATTTTATTTTTAAATAACTACGATAAGGCGGGGTGTTACAAATGGTATCAGAGCACGTTTCTGCGTCTCTGAAAAGTTTTTCAGTTAGTAATTTTCAGAAGAACCTGAACCGTCATGCTCACGCCTCGCCGACTACAGGTAAGTGCTGATTTATGTTTTCAGTTATAAACATATTACTTTGTCTATGCTCAGAAATTATGGATCAGAACTTAGTTAAGATGCTCAAATCAAGTTCAGACTTTAGAGTTCGGATATGACTCTAGAATTTAGTACATTCATGACTCTAGAATTTAGTATCTTCCGATATGACTCTAGAGTTCCTCAGGATTCATGTCAGTATTCATTGGCCATTTTTGGCAACTCGTCAAGAGATATGTGTGCCTTAGTAATCAGTCAGAGTATATTATCATGTGTTCAATAATGTTGAACTTTCTCAGTGATCAGATGCCGCCCTGTAGGGAACCCGATTACCCGGTTCTTACTAAGGCACAGCAGTCGCACAGTTTCACGACTATCAGGCTGAGAAATTTTCCGGGCAGGGAGATCCCCATATCGTAAACGAGTGGATTCAGAACTTTAGAAAGGGATTAAGTTTAAGAACTCTAGATTTATTCACGTTAAGTTCACGATTCGTCAGCACTTATGTTGTACAAATCTTAGCAATCATGTTCCTCAGATATTTTTCTATCAAAAATTGTCATTTTGCCAATCAATTGGCAGATTTCAGGGAGGAATTCCTTGGTTCAACTCAAGGAATAGACTCATGTTTCCTAAGTCAGATCAGTAAATCATGATCAAGCGAAAAGTTTCATGTTAAAGGT